TGCATGCATTGACAGTGATCCTTCTCCCCGCATACAATGCGAAAATATTTTGGCGAGCAGCCCTTCGCAGAGCAACGCCCCATGATGACGCTGGCAGGCAATCACGAGATTGAGTTTGACAACACGACTGGCGTGGCCACTGGCTTCCAGGCCTACATCAACCGGTACCGCATGCCGGAAGTGCGTCCGACAGAGATCAATTGCCCTTTTGAATTCACCGATTTCTGCGCGCCTTCCGTGTATTTCAGCTGCTATGATTATGGCAATGCTTACTACTCCTTCGATGCGGCTACGGTGCATGTCATCATGCTTAGCAGCTATACCTACATTAATGAGTCTACGCCCCAGTACAACTGGCTCGTCAAAGACTTGGCCAGTGTCAATCGAAGGAAGACGCCCTGGGTGGTGGTGATGACCCACTCCCCTATGTACAACAGCAATCAGGCCCACCAAAATGAGGTACGCATTACTAGGGGATGGGTCGTCTAAGTGCTTTTCAAGCACCTTATTGTGCGCATCTCTCTCATATAGAGGATTCCAACCAGCCTTTCTTATTTTACGTCGCCACCCATAGGCTCAGTCTATCGCCATGAAAGCTGCCATCGAGCCTTTGTTGATGCAGTACAAGGTGAACATCGTCATCGCCGGCCACGTGCATGCCTATGAACGCACCTATCCAGTCTACCAGAACGTTGTTGATTACAAAGACGGCATCACCTACATCGTGGCAGGTGACGCGGCCAACCGGGAGGTGAGTCGATAAGTGCGATGAGGTGTCCTGGATGAGGGAGGCGCTCCAACAGAGTGCGACCGCGTCGTTTGCCCTCTCCTTCATTTGACCTCAACCTGATCCTCATCTCTCTCATCGTGGGTCTTCTCTCTGGTGACTGTCAAACAGGGCCATGCATCCGAATACATCAGCCCCATTCCCTCTTGGAGCGCTGTGCGGAATGGGACGCAGTACGGTCACGGTACGTGCGCTCCTCCGAGTTCACACTTATTGGCACCGAGGTCGGAGGGGTAACCTAGTTTGCATGTCAACGATTGTATGAAAGCATTGTCCCTTTGGATGCTTTTCTGAGTCTCATGATTGTCCATTTTGCTCATTGATACACCTATGCTCTCCACCCGTTGCTCAGGGAAGATGACCTTCCACAACGATCGACGCATGACGTGGGCCTGGTACCGCAATCTCGACGGAGAAAAGATTCTTCGGGATGAGATCAAGATATGCAACACGGCCAAGGGTCTGCCTGTCAGCTGTGGCAAGATTAATGCCAAGAGAACCAAGCTCAGCAAGTTCAACCCAGGACGCGCGCTGGCCCCGGACCTGCATAGTACTGAGCCGGTGGAAGCCACCACGGCGACGAAAGCTGTCAAAGCGTAGGATTACGACCGGGTCTCCATACTTATATAGCCCCGCCGCAATAGGAGACTTCTCACGTGTCGTCACGGTGGTATTTAAAAGCGTCGACGATGGCAGAGGGGAATTCGCCCTAGTCTTACTTCTATGTCTCACTCTCATCCTCGGTTATACTCGTGTACCCTACCCGAGACACGGATCCTCCAGCATGCAGCTTTCAGGTATCCATGACACTTTTTATGATTATTTGACCTGAACAGATGTAGGGCACAAAAGCCGTGCACTTCGACCTTGCGTAGAGGTATGGCGTAGTCTGTATTGAAAGTAAACATTATTTTGGGGCTTGAGACAAAATCTTAGGGTGAAAGAAGCGGGTACGAAGGCGATCATTGACCGGCAAAGCACGTGAATTGGCGGATTGCAAGATTTGCCTATCTCAAAAGCTTAGGGTCAATCGAAATGCGTGCTCCGACACACACTCGTTTCCTCCCGGGAATTATTTCTTTTCCAGGACACAGCGCTTTCAAGCTCGTTTATCGAACATTTGTGTGCTTCCAATTACAGAACAAGACTGGTAACACTTTCGATCCATGTCCTACACAACTTCTCTTGGTCAAGTACTTTGCTTCCTTCCCTCCCCCTCCGATTCCCCCGGCCCTTCCTCCAGGCCGTCGCATGGTCAAGCGGGGCCCATATTCAAATCCCTGCCCTGCTTTCTTCTCGCCCTTCCCATTCTTTCCATTCAGCCCTGTCCATTCTCCCGGCCTCCGCCGATACCTTCCTCCTAATCACTGTCCACCAGTATCACCTCCAGGCTTTTTCTCTTCCCCCTGCACCCTCCATGCTCCCTTTCCCCCTGAATCGCGGCTTTCCTTCCCGTGTCCTTCTCTCGTTGCCCCTTCACATTTCGACCTATCTTTTCACCGAATCCTCCTTCCTTCTCAGCCCCCGCTTTTCCAGCTTCTTTTCCTGAATTTCTTCTTTCTTCTCCTTGATCCTCCTCCCTCGGTGGTAGGTTTTTACATTCCTCCTTCTTGGCTCGTCCTGTCCGAGGCCGGCATTCCCCCAGCCTACGCCCCCGACCGGGCCATTTTCCTCGACCGCTTTCGGTAATCCTTCGATTTTTTGGGGATACCACCTCGGGTTCGTGTGAAAATTCCATGGTATGCTTACGATACGGAAACGAGTCGGAGGCAGGGTAAAGTAGGTGGTTATCGATATAAATAAGCAGCACGAATGGCATGTAAAGTGCATTGCACAGAAAATATTTAAAGGTCTTGAGACAAAAGAGCTCTTTTGTAAAACACACGTGGTATATACGCTGACAGGAAGAACATCAGGTAAACTCTCGCATATAAGTTATCGGTAAAAGGGGGCCTACCTGCATCTCATGCTGAAATCGACACCCAATACCTGAAGGACAAGGACGTTTACTTTTCCTTTTTCTCGGTCTCTGTACGGTTTGCGAGCTTCTGCTTCGGCCATGACGCACCATCTTGCCTTTTCGGCGCCACTGTAAGCGCGTGAAAGGATTGAGGAGAAATATATTGGAAGGTGTGAGTTTCAGCGGGACAATAGAAAGTCAAACATAAAGCCCACGAATGACTCTTGAACCTCCAGGCACGTTATAGATCCCAGCAAATCCGTATTGTATCGACAGCTGGCTGTGGTAATTTGGCTATTCGCAAAGCTTTCGTAATGCGCACGGTACGCAGACGCGGTGTAGTACCAGCTGCGAGGAATAACCTCCTGCCTTCGTATAGTATTTCCCCCCCCCAAAACAAATAAGCCGAGTTCCCGTCCTACAGATGTAGTATATGGATACCTTATGGCACTTCCAAGTTTGAAGAGGTCATGCTATGGAATAAGAAACATGAACGGTCTTGCTGGGTACTATCTTCTGAAAGGACTGTTGTCTATTCATCAATAGCAGTGCCCAATAATGAATGGTGTAACTCAAATGGCGACATAAAAATGGCTTAGAGCGCAAGGGTTTGGAAAATATATTGGCCGTTTGTGATTGACTTCAAGTCGAAAATAAGGAATCACAGTCTCCCTAATGTACAGTAATCATTCTAGAAGCGAAAATAGCGCGATCAAAGAATGTTGCAACATAATTGTACCAGAGAAAGAGTGAAGCGGTACTTCCTGGCTCTAACATTTAATGATAATATTCCAAAACACTTTTGCGCACGCGTCGACTGAATTCTTAGATTTTAATCTTCGTTATTCCACTAATGTGTCGTCTCCATTTGCTTGCTCGAATCGAGTCATCCTTGGAGAAAAAGCTACAAATTATGTGTAAATTTCCTTTCTTGTACATTGTTTGTAATATCATCAGTTGTGGGACATGGCACCTGCGCGCTCATGAGAAAAAATGTGGGGAGGCCTATACGCACAAAAGCAAGTTTGCTCATGACGTGTCGATCGTGTAGAAGATCCTTTTGCACTTTCGGCTCGCTAGTTGCACTAGTCTGAGCGAGATATGCCTCTCCCTAGGCTCTTTTGATTAATTGTAAGCAATGATACAATGGAGGTAATGCTTTTTGTTGGTTAAAATTTTGAAAATGGGCCATTCGCCCATGGTTGCAGATAAGTGAGGTCCTACACGTTTGTTTCATAAGCATTCCCCCCCCAAAAAAATAATTTTCGTCTTCAAAACCAGCAAAGGTAGAAATTAAGAAGCCAAATGTACATAGTACATCTTGAAAGTCGAACCGCATCGTCAAAGCACGGAAAAAGAGACTGGATACGGCCTTTTTTTTTTGTGTAGGCCGACCAGCAGGTCAACGGCAACAACGGCGCCTGAAACCGTTACCACACAGGTTCTAGCTCCATGCACACTCTTATATCGCGAGGACGCAAAACTATCGCCCTACTAATCGATTTCTATATGCGTGCTGGTTCATTACATGTTTATTTTGTAGACCCTTTGACCTTGTCCATCCGTATTCCCATCTTGCCCATCCGAACTCCTTTCCACCCTCAGGGCGACTTGGGCAACGGAAGATCACCCAACCATTGCCTGGTCAGCTTCCTGGGCCCCTTCACCTTAATCAAAGTCCTGCCTCACTGTCGAGTCTAAGGACCATACTTAACTGCATTCCGCGTGGATCCATGTTGCGCCTACCTCATTGGGCAGGTATTGCTTTATGGGCCGCCATGGGCTTGGCGTGGCTCGGGCCCCCGGCCCAGGCTCAAAATGTGAGTATCGGAGCTCACCACAAACCCTGATTCTCATGTATGTGCTTTCTTTCGCTGGTCTCAGCCTTATCATCAACTCTCTTTCCCACCCTCCTCCTATTTGTAGTACGGAAGTGATTGTGCACTGACGGGATTAGGTATTTTTGAGTGTAAACGAGCCAGGAGGAGTAGCAGCACTGGCGCTAACAACGGGACAGTGGGTGTTCAATCTGGAGCCTCCACAGAAGCTCCCATCACGTCAAGCGATGCCGAAAACGAGTACGGGCGAGGGATGCTAATGACTCTCCGGAAAACAAATTGCGCCAAGTAAGGAGATACGGACTGCAATCGAAGAGAGGGATCTGGGGGGAAGGGATAGTGTCATCTTCACGCTATCATTTTTTTAGTTGTGAATAAGGCAGAGACTTTAAGGCAGGCATGTCTACTATGGCTTCCATTACCTCTGACTCCCTCGCCTCGCCGCCCTTTTTCCCCCTCGACCCCCCATGCTTCTTTCCTCCCCCTCTTTCTTTCCCTCTTAGGGACCCGTCCTGTCGGGCCACCGTCGAAAATCAGCTCACGAAGATGGGCTGTGAAGCTTTCACCTACTACCCAGCCATCCAAGCCATGGGTGCCGTGTGTTACGCCCCCGCCGTCTCCCCCCTGGAAGCGAAGAAGTTGACCCTGCAGTCCCTCCTTGGCATCCGGGCAGCCACCACCTACTTCTCTTCGGCCACGCTGGACATGAAAGTCCAAGTCGATCCTGGGAGGGACAACGACCCGACCTGGATCAACGCCGGATGGCAACGGGGGTCGTGGTGGCGACAGAACCGAAATCGGAATCGGAACCGAAACCGAAATCGAAACCGAAACCGAAACCGAAACCGTCCCCCGCTCTTTGCCCGTCCTCCACCGGCACCTGCCCCAGTACCTCCCCCTCCCCCTCCCCCTCCCCCTCCCCCTCCCGCTTCTCCTCCCGCGCCGTCTCCTGGCAACAACGTACAGCCCAGCCCCCCGAACCCCCCCCGGCCCCCGAAACCGCCCCGAATCCCAATATCTATAATTGGGGGAACGACCGGTCCAACCAGATGAGGGGCTTGGACATGAACCGCCAGCAGTGCAAGTCGCGAGGCACAGACGTGAACATTTTCGTGTTGGACACAGGTACGGCGGTGGGAAAGGGATGGGAGAGAGGGGCGGAATGGAGTAGGGAGGCATTCTTTCTGAGACGTAGGAAGAGGGCGACCGACCGCAAGGCAGGGAGGGAGGGAGGGAGGGGAGGGAGGGGAGGAGTGTCGGATGGT